CAGGTTGTCGACACACTAAGGCATGCCAGGTATACACCCACAGTACTGGTAAGCGTTCTCAAGTGGAGATAGAAAATAAAGTCAATGGTAATTCTACATCAATTTCACCTGACATTAAAAAAAAAAAAAAAATTAAAGAATGGTAGAGTCCAAATGAAAACCAAAGCACAGGAAGTGGATGTATTATTTTTGAAAGAGGTTAGTGAAGTCACTCTGGAAGTATTTGCAGAACCTTCAATGTATCATCAGAGGACTGTTAAAGATGTATCCCCTAAACTCACCAAGTAGCACCCCTGAAAAGTTAGCCCCAACACCATTTTCACTGATTAACACATAATCAGGACAACAGGTAACTGGATAGATGGAAAACTCTCAGGGATGCATGCAGGAAGCTGAACAGGAAGACGGCCATTTTGTTGTAGCAGCCATTTTGGGATGAGTTCCAGTGCTCGAAAGTTGGGGGGAAAAAATAAAAGTAAAAATCAATCCCCAACGACAGTTTCACTGATCGTTGCGAAACGGGGTGGACACCTATCACAGCAGGACACACACAAAAAGTCGCAAGCACCCAAACTGAACAGGAAGTCGGCCATTTTGGTTTGGCTTTGCCATTTCCCCACTTGAGAACTTGCCCAAATGAGCCCCAATCGGAAGCAGGTATCCTACAAAGATGTTTTTTTTTTCTTTCATTCCCATTCCATTCACAGGATGGGATGAAAAAGACACACCGGTGCGAGTGACAAGCACTCATCCAACATGATGACAAACGGGTCAGCCTGTTAAGATGCGGTCAGATGACGCCACATGCACATGCGTACGCTGATGCATCATGCATCCCTCCCACAAACAGACGCAGACGACAGCTCCACGAGCTGTCGTCTTTTCCAAGCATGCAAAGAAGGAGCCGGAATATGATGATGCAGCCAAATACCTCAATGCAAAATGACACAGTGCATCCTGACAATTATGAAACTCGCTGCTCACAATGCACACGCCCATACTCATCGCATCGCTAAGTTAAGACACATCATCACTTGCGGTTGATTTATGCAACAGTGCAACCTCCAAAGTGGGAATTTCAAAAGCCAGTTTTACGCCGTCTGCAAATAAGGTGGTGAGAATTCCATCTGCTTCATCCATCTGCCAAAAAACGTTTTAACACGTCAACATTCCGAACTCATACAGGTGACATGAGCACTTCACTGCTCCGAGCGGCATTCGTCCTTTTAGATTCTCACGAGATTTCCCGTGTGGTTGCCGTTTTGAGTTCTGATCAACTTTGGAGGTTTCATTGTCTTTTCAACATGCATACGCGGTCGTGTGAATGAGAGAAGTCAAACGAATCATTATTGTGGAAAAGGACAATGATAAACATTTAAATCTGTGAATGTTGCTCGATGGATTGTACAGGTCTTGCGCGTCATGTACTTGAAGAATAATGTCGCTTCAGCATTTTTGCCACATCCTTGATATCCAGCTTCAGGTCCATGTACGAGTACGTTCTTTGTTCGAGCTAGTAAGACAAGGGCGCTCTACTAGAACAACTGTGTATCACTGTTTTTTTTCCCCCTCTATTGTGCTAAAACGTGCACATTAGCTGGACAATTTGGGCATTCTCACATCGTAACAACACGTTACTAGTGAGGCAAAAACTCGTTGACAACTGTGTGCCTCTCAAACCACGAGTGACTACATTCTCCCAGTTAATATCTCAAGCTTTATTAATCGTATTTGTCACATACAGATGTCAAGTAGCCTCACTAGTAACGTGAAGTTGCCCAACTTGTACGCCAAAGTTGTCCTAACTAGTGTGCAGAGCTGCCATTGAGTAGTGCAAGGCAGGAGTGTCCCCTCAAATCTACGAGTAATTGATGCCCTCACTAAAAAAAAAAAATTTGGTGCAGCCAAATCACATATTCACGACTGATTTGCCAAAGTTCGGATCAAGATAGAAACTAACATTTTTTTCTGGTGCAAAAAAGAGTCTACTCTTTCTTTCGTTTGCTTTTGTTGATGGGGGTGCGTTATTGCCTCAAAAGTTGATTAGAGATGTTCAACACCACTTTGTTCCAGACCGATACCACTACGGTTATTCACTCTTTAAGTACTTACCGATGACCACATTCACTTTTCATGTAGAAAATTTCATTGAACACGATGACGAAAAATTGTGAACAAAGACTTTTCTTGCTGATGGAGAGGATAGTTTGCCAATGTGTCAAACTGCTGCAGTATAGCGCCAGTTACTGCCAATGAACACTTACTTGATTTTCAGCAGCCTCCGCAAACAACATTCTACTTCAAATAAGCCCAGTATCGGACCGATACCGATACCTGATCTTAGATCCCTTAAGTTGGAAATGCTACATGAGCGCGTATGTTGTCACAGACCTCCTCCTGTCTGGTGATGGTGGTCTGCCGCTGCTCCAGCATGGCGAGGAGCTCCGAGATCTTCAGCTGGAGGGTCTTCTCCGATGCGGATGACGTCCTCTCGGTGGTGATCTCCGTCTGGAGCCTCGTAATCTGAGTCTGGAACGAGGGAGAAGCACAAAAACGGGTGAGCTTTCCCTTTCCCAGTATCGCAAAACCGGTATCGATCCTGTGTCGGGTGAACCGTTCACGCACTTGGAATAGCCTGCCCCTAAGGCATTGTTGAATGAGTTAGCATTCAGACATTAGTCCGATTAAATGCTGTGGTTCTGTTGAATATATTTGTTCTGAAATATACAACATATTCACCCGCAGCCGCTGGATCTCTTGCTCCTTCTCCTGTTTCATGATGCTGAGCTGCTCGTTGAATTGCCGCGACAGCTCCTCGGTCTTGATGTGCAGCGTGCTGCTGTTAGATTGGCCTAATTGCTGCGAGGTGGAGGCGGAAAGATGGAAACAACTTCAGAGACTTTCAGGCTAAAGTGAGAAGGCCTGACCGAAGGCCGGAGCGAAGGTGGCCGGCTACCTTCTGTCGGAGAATTTCGTTCTCCTTCTCCAGAGCCCTGATGCGTCCTTCCAACTCCCGCATCCGGAAGTCGCGGCTCGAGTCGACGTTGCGGGCGCTCATCAGCTGGCTCTCCAAGGCACGCTGGGAGGAGGTGGTCTCCTTCAGAGACACCTGGGCGCACAAGATGGGTAGTCGGCCAGTGAGACCTTTGCGTAACGGCTTGCTAAAGTTCATACGGTCGAGCCTCGCGCCGTTTGAGCCGTCAGAATAGAGAGAATAGATGCCCGTTTTAAGGTTTACATACTCTTCGATTTCACCTCCTTTCATCGAGTAATCAATACAAAAAAAAAA